GTATAAGGTACGTAGTTGCACCAACACAGACTTCTAGGCAGTAAAATAAGCCCTAACGTCTATAACGATTAAGTAATTACAATTTAATATACAAAGTTATCTCGTGCATTAGCGTGTATCACCTCATTTCATCCAGTGGATACCGTAAGAGCAAGCTATGGAAAATGCCAGAAAGAACCTATGGCTTCTAATGGATGGTAGTATAATCAGGCCAGCGACTAGGAGTAGCGTTAATGGTCGAGACATCTGGTACCGCGAGCGCAAATCCTTCAGCTAAGTGCCTCTTAGTCTTAGCTAGGGGTTGACCAGCAGTTGACCAGCAGTTGACTTATACAGACTGAAGAAGAAGAAGATACAATATTAAAGTAAACTATTGCGGTATCGTGTTTATGATTGTGTATGGAGTAGCCACCTATCTCTTCTGACATAATATTACATTCTAAGCCCTTATTTTTGTGGCTAAACTTGGTCCGATTAGCTCGCTGATTTTTGAACTCTGGCCCTCGGAGATTACAGGCTATAATAAACAGACAGGCAGTAAAACAACATTCAGTCTTTTTTTTATGCAATAAGAGTGACAAACGAGCACACAGTCCACGTGATGGTAAGTGGATGCCATGGCCCATAGACATCTACATCTATCCTCGATTAATCAAAACCCCTGAGGACTAAGATGGAATGTTTCGTTTCCAGTAAAAAGGGTCTCCGCTTCCTTACACTCATCATATCAAACACTGCAGCATTAAGCTGCTATTTTTACACTGGTATTCTGTGAGAGCGTGGTACTACACCGGTCGAGCCGAAAAGATATTTATATAAATATCATAAAGATTGTCTGATATAGAATAAAGATAACAACGAGGATCGGTCCGTAAATCCGTAATTTTCATGAACCGACCTTGACACAAAATTCACGTGATTTACTGACAGTGACAACCAAAGGCTCGTTAAAATGTCGTTACCTTTGATATGCCTTATTGCGTGTTGCAAATATAAGGTTACTCAATGTGAAAAATCATTTCAAGTCTATTTATTATCCGACTACGGCAAAGTCCAAACGTAGAGTATTACTTTTGCTGATATGAATGTTTATCCGCTCGTTGTTCCTAAACAAGTCATAGGATTTTTACGAGTTCTTTGATAGCTAAGTACGAGTATATTCAGTGAGAAAACGCAGCCAGCGTTCTTGGCTATATAACGATGGGAGCAGCACTGTACGATAAATTTAGATTTTTGAAACGAAGTTCCTTATCGGACGGTAAGAATTTGGCGGATAGGGACTAGGCGAGAAAAAGTGTAAGATTTTCTGTCACGACTCCTTCTGACGTAGTGCAGATGGCTTTAAAGGTTACAATAAAGTGAGATGGAATAATACCCATCTCCCTCGCACTTTTTCTTATCTGCCATGAAAGAAAAATTATTTTATTTTAAATGACGCTTCATTTTTAATAGGCGCTAGTAATTTATTTATTTCTATTTGTTAATCAATAATATAATACGTTTATCAATAATAATAATAATAATATGCTAATTAATTTATAAAATAGATGCTAATTATTTTGTTTCTCAACAATTCTCAATTCTAACGCTGAAATTATATAGGCATAAATTATACCCGAAAAATCCCTACAAAACATAGTTCACCCTCGTTCTTAAACATAATAATATCGTTTCGTTATTCTATCTAAATAACTATAGACTACAATTCAATAGCTATAATGTCTCTTCAGAACTTATCTTGCCAATCTAATTATTAAACATATATTTTAAAAACTTAAGACTTTTTTTAAATGACAATAAAATCTATAAAATGAATGAGACACATAAAATTTATATCACAAATAGGCGATTGGCCTTGGAAACGGTAATCTCGAAATCAATTGTTGCCCATAGTTAACAAAACCAAATGATAAACCGAGCTTAAAGCAAATAATCTTAAAAACACTTGTACATTTGCACCGATGCTTCGGATTACAACTGATAATATGATACTATCAGCTGCTTGATAAAAACTTTTAAACTTTGTCATAACTATTGCCACACGTCAACAATACTGTATTACGATAATCGATATCCGTTTCTTTTTCTTTATAGGCTGTTTGGATATATTTTTGAAACGAAGTTCCTTACCGGACTCAAATTTAGCAGATGGGGTCTAGGCGAGAAAAGGTGTAAAATTTTTCCAATAAGGAAGCGGGATAGAATCATATTCATCTCCCTCGCACTTTTTCTTATCTTGCCATGAAATAAATATTATTTTATTTTAAATGACGCTTCATTTTAATAGAAGCTTGTAATTCATTTATGTGTATTTGTTAATCAATAATATAATACGTTTATCAATAATAATATACTACGAAAGGATATTCGTTCCAACCGAGTGTTACAAGAAACTCACGCATGTTTTTTTTTTTTTATAGAATAATGGTGACAAGCTAGTACATAGTCCACCTGATGGTAAGTGGATACTGTGCCCATAGACGTCTACATCTATCCTAGATTACGAATCAAAATGCGGATGCATTGTCGCCCCTGAGGACTAAGATGGAATGCCTCGTTTCCAGTAAAATGGGTCTCCAGTTCTCTACACTCCCCATACGAAACACATTAAGCTGCTATTTTACGTTGGTATTCTGTGAGAGTGTAGTCCTACCTCGGTCGAGCCGACCCATATTTATATATTTATTTATTGACCAAAATATTAAATTGAGAGCTTACAATCACATAATCACCTGACGTAAGCCTAAGATGGCTTACGTATGTATCATATTATAATGAGTTGAGTTATTTTACACTTAAGTATTTCGGACTTATTTTTAACTTTTTAAAACCCTAAGTACCTAATATACGTAATAGTATAAAATGCTATTTGGTTGAGGATAGTTATATATCAATTCATCATCATTATTTTTCAGTTTTACCATTTATTTTTTGTTTACTTTACATTTAATGTTTTTGTTATTCAACTTTTAAATTCCCTAGGTCAGATGTTTATCATTAGTGCAGTGAGTACATAAGATTTCGCATTTCATGAGATTTTATTGTATTTGCTAGCTAGTAGTTACGACATTCCAAAATATGATGTTTCGAACGTGTACGTATGTGTGCCTTGCTATGTTAATTGTATAAATATAGGTACATTGATTTTATTTTTTGTAATTATATATAAAAATTGAAAGTTAAAGTTACAGCCTAAATACGTCCCACTGCTGGGCACAGGCCTCCTCTCATTTCTTAGAGGGTTTTAGGGCAAGGAAATGTCCGACGAGCTGCCCCAATGCGTGTTGGCGAAATTCACATATCTTTCTTATTTATCAGACATGCAAGTTTCCTCACGATGTTTTCCTTAACCGCCGAGCACGTGGTAAATCAGCATTTAAAATTGCAATTAACAATTTCATTGGTGCCGGCGGGGATCGAACGCTGTGCACGGCTCGCGTACTGTGAAATTTACAGCGAGCGCTAACTATCTGAGCTACCCCGGCTCTACGGGTCCACGGGTTAGTTATAGATGAAACCGATAAAATATTCGCTACCCCATATCATCCTGTGGGTGTCGTAAGAGAAACAAATCAGGATATGGGCTGCAGCGTCCTAATAACAACTAAAATTAAAAAAACTACGGTTGCCAATGGAAACTGCGGCAATCTATAGGGGAGGCCTATGTTCAGCATTGGACTTTAATAGACTGTAACGGTAACTATATATGAGTACATATATGTGGACCCATAACACGTTAATTATGTAGTCGTATAGTACGTACGGGACTCGGATAATCAGTATAACGCTGAAGACAATGTAAAGCTAGTAAAAGGTTAATTTCTTTTTTTTATAGGATCGGGAGACAAACGAGCACACAGTCCACCTGATGGTAAGTGGTTGCTGTGGCCCATAGACATCTACATCAATCTTCGATTACGAATCAAAATGCAGATGCGTCGTCACCCGTAAGGACTAAGATGGAATGCCTCGTTTCCAGTGAAAGGGTCTCCGGTTCTCTACATTCACCATACGAAACACAGCAGCTATTTTACGCTGGTATTCTGTGAGAGCGTGGTCCTTCCCCGGTCGAGCCGACCCACTCGTGCTACAACTATACTACTAATATAGCTGCAGCATGGCTCTACCATGTAATAATTTCTTATGAGCTATTTCTAATCTGTTTACAATAAGATTGTTATATAAATATACGTAAGTTCAGTATAATAAGATAAATATAGCACTTGTAAGGAAAGTCATTTCTATTTATTTTAGATGAGTTACGTTATTAAAGTCTATAATTAGGCGGGCATTTGAGAAATAGCAATTACATTCGCAGACTAGGTGAGTGGTCTCATAAATTTTACGGCCGTTTGTTAATGTACGACTCACCTATGCCGATCTTACACGCGCCAAATAATGCAGTGCAAAATCATTAAATACAGCGAAAGTAGTTTTAATAGTTCCACGAGTAAGTTTTATTGGAATCTTTTTACCTTTTTCAAATAATACTAGTTACACTCAGTCACGTCTCTGCTAACTATCATATAATGAAAATAAAATTAAACCTTATTATTTAAACTTGAGCCGTAAATTTCCTAACAATTTCTGATTGTGCACAAATACGAGGGTGGATTGAAAAGTACTCGGCCTAACCAAGAAAATAAACAAATACTAAATCAGTTATATTTTTATTTTTCTACATAATCACCATCAAGTTCAATACACTTTTGCCACCTCCCCTTCCAAGCATTTAGACCGTTGTAAAAAAATGATTCTTCCTTAGAGTCAAAATATGCGTCTACAGCTGCTTTGACCTCGTCGTTTGTCGAAAATCTTTGACCTCCCAAGTGCTTTTTTAGGTTAGGGTACAGAAAGAAGTCTGATGGTGCCAGATCAGGTGAATACGGCGGATGCGGTAACAGTTCAAAGCCACAGTTGTGAATTTCAGCCATTGACTGTACTGACGTGTGAACACGGGCGTTATCTTGATGAAACAGGACTTTTCTTCTGAGCATTCCTCAAAGTTTTTCTTTTATTTCCTCTTGTAAACGACGTAGTAAGGTGCAGTAGTAATCAGAGTTTATATTCTGACCCCTTTCAAGATAATCAATCATAATCACACCTTTCGAGTCCCAGAATACTGAAGCCATCACCTTATTTGCCGACAAAATCGACTTAGCCTTTTTAGGGGGTGGTGAACCAGGTCTTCTCCACTGTTTTGATAGTTGTTTTGTTTCCGGTGTACAGTAATGAACCCATGTTTCGTCCATAGTAACAAAACGATTCATAAAATCATCTGCATCGGCTTCAAATAACTCCAAACAGTCGCGTGAAATTGTCAATCGCGTCCTTTTTTGTTCAACTGAAAGCAGTCGCGGAACCCACCTCGCAGACACCTTGTGGAATGCTGCGGGCTGTTCGAAAGAGATACCGCGGCTCCGGAACGTAAGGGCACTGAAGGAACACGGATGGTTTTTAGTCAGTAAAAGTCTGACACTCCCTTCCGCTCCACCCAGAGCGAAAGGCGTCATTTGATGATTTTCCATCCGCAAAAAAAAAAAAAGACACCTTGTGGAAACCCAACTCGTTGACAATGATGTTTTGAGTTCGTTCATAAGAGATGCCTATAATCTCGGCTATCTCTCTAATTTTTAATCTGCGGTCTCCCATTATTAAATCAAGTACTTTTTTAATATTTTCGTCAGTAGTTGACGTCGAAGGCCTTCCAGAACGGGGTTCATCTTTCACACTCTCTCTACCACGCTTAAATTCTGCTATCCATTTTTTGACGGATGAATATGACAGAGCACAATCGCCTAATGTATTGACCATGTCATCATGGATGGCTTTTGATGATAGCCCCTTCTTATGGAGGTACTTAATGACGGCACGCTGCTCGATTTGCTCCATTCGCGGAAATTATGTCCGATTACTTTGTTAATAAATTTATAAAATCACAACTAATTATCGCACACGTTTCGAACTTCACACAATGAACTAGTCTGAACTGAACTAAATAATGTGGGTAGATTTGATTTTTAGAATTGAATGGATCTGTGTTAGGCCGAGTACTTTTCAATCCACCCTCGTATTATGCCTGGTAAGGACTTTGGTCTCGTTCTTTAACCACTGGTTCACCAACGACAATATATATTTTCTTACATTAAAAAAAAATATGTATTTAAAACAAAAGAAAATAACAACAAATATGGACATAGAAAAAAAATTATCTAATAGATGTAGTACTATTTGACTACAATAAAATAAAGGATTTAAATAACTTTGTAAATATCATGATTTCAAAAGTGGTACTCGTAAATTAAAAATGTTGTACAAACGACTTCAATATGAATATAATTTATTGTTGATTTTTTTAAAACCCCTCGACAGATTTCGATAAAATTTAAATTGGACCACCTGGGAAGTATACCCTTTGAAACAAAAAATAATTTTTCAAATCGGTTCAGGCGTCTTTGAGTAATCGGTGAACATACATAAAAAAAGATTCCGGCGAATTGAAAATCAACTGTTTTTTTGAAGTTGTTTGAAAATAATGTTTTTGGAACACCCAAACCACTATTATACTTATTAATGAGCATAGCTATACTATTTCCTCAAAGTGTCGGTAAGCACTGTCACAGTCATAGACTCACAGACTGAAAGCAAACATAAGTATTAATCTTAGAGTATACATTAGCTTGCTTATGTATACTCTATGGTATTAACATACTACAGGAACAAGCGGGCTCTTCGCTCTATTAGTAAGATTCATGGTGACAATATGTTTACACAACACCGAAGATAAAATTCAAATTATCAGCGAATGATATCTTATTATTTAAACTGGGGATAATTACTTACATCTTTTTCCCTAATAGTTTTTGGACAAGATATATTAAAAACTAGGTATATTTTTCATAACGATCTGTAATGTTGCAATGTTACATTTACTTGAACGGGCCGGATCGTGATATTATTATCACATCAGATTTTGGTTTTATGTAGACTTGTTTTATTTTCGATACCTTCATCATTATCAAAATCTCGAATGGGCATAAATTTGTAAATAGTTAGCTGATAATGTACACAAAAAGATCAATTATGTAAGTACATAAAATGAACTTTAAAGGACGCCTGATTAGCTCAGCAAGTCCTGGAGAAAGTACAAGAGAAAGCTCATTTCAACTAAGTAATATATTTATACATCTTAACAGTTTATATCACGAAACGAACATAGTTGTAGTGATAACTGTTCTATGAATAGGTGTTGTTAAATTGCCGTTATATAGAGAAAAGACAGGCATGAAATATAAATAGTTATGATAAAGTTATCTGTTGTACAATAACGATAACGTTACGTTATTTAAAACACGTACAACGACCCACCGGGCACCTTTACGGTAAAATTACACATATTTCAGCAATTCAAGTTCAGTTTCAACACTAGAATCTTGAAGTGTCTTCTAATATGATAACTTGCGTATAATAAAACTATACCGAATTTTAAAATATATAATATGGCGTCATCTAGGTAAAAGTATAGTAATTTATTGATTATTAACACTAAAATAAAAACTGTGATATTTAACAAATAACGGGTATTTAGAAATAACTCAATATCGGATAATGTAAGTTTTCAATCTGATGATAATGTAATTTTTAATACTTCTTTTAGCTGCAAATGGGAAGATTATGCATACCACCTAGCTCCTATAATATGTATAGCGTGATATTTATTTGATTCGACGCCTACATAAATCACTATCGTGAAAGTTCCATTCAAATCCGTTTTCAAGTTTTTGTGTAATGCGTGTTGAGATAGACAGACGTTTCCAAAAAAGTTTGATGTTATACTTCTTTTGAGTCGTTTGGGTAAAATTATGAGAGTAATTTTTTACAAAACAAAAATAACTAAAATAAAACACGTTTTATAGATTCATTACATATATATTTGAATAACTATCTTGAATATAGTTTACAGTAATCACGAAAAATTGACAGTTCACAGACAATTCTCACCTTCGATTTGCCGACGATATAGTCCTTATGGCAGAATCGCTGGAGGACCTAAGCACTATGCTCAATGACCTCAATAGTGTTTCCCAACGGATAGGTCTTAAGATGAACATGGACAAAACAAAGATCATGTTTAATGTCCATGTCACACCTATGCCGGTAGTTGTTGGGAACACTAAGCTCGAAGTTGTTGACGAGTATGTTTACCTGGGACAAATAGTCCGACTAGGTAAGTCCAACTTCGACCGAGAGGTCAATCGACGGATTCAACTCGGTTGGGCAGCGTTCGGGAAATTACGGCACATCTTCTCGTCAGGTATACCTCATAACTTGAAAACGAGACTGTACACAGTGTTGCCAACTCAACTACTTCAAAATATGCTAGACTGGTGTAAAAAATATGCCAAAAATATGCTTACCTTCTCTAAAAAATGCCAAAAAAAATGCCAACATAATTAAGAAGTATCAGTATTTATTGAGAAATTAAATCAAGGGAATAGAATATTAAGGTCTTCATCTTCATCAACATCAGCTGATGTGGAAGGCTGAGAGCCGGAGTCGTAATACTCTTTGGTTCCGATACTGCGTAGTACATTGTCTGGAACAGTGTAAGAGTAACAGCACTTTCCTGCTCTTTTTAGGCCGAACCTAACGTACAAAATGGCATTCAGGGTTCTCACCGCCAAACGGTTTCGGAGTTTTGTTTTTACCAGACTCATTTGTCTGAATACACGTTCAACGTCCGCATTTGAATGTGGCAATGATATAAGAGACATTGCAAACTCACATAACTCTGCAAAGGGGTTATTATCAGCTGCATCTTTATATTGCATGACTTCATTCCAGAACTTTACTGTGGAAGTCAAGGATTCCCATTTAATGTGAACTATATTTCTCCATTGAGATACCAGTTTTTCAATCATAGGTGCATTAACTCGGAACTCTTGGGCTATTTCGACAATGGATGGCTTAACTACTTTTAAAGTCTCTTGAACTGAAAACATGGATATCTTCTGAAGTATTTTAAAATTAACCGGTAATCTCGAACGTAGTTCTGTCACAAGTTTCAGTGTGAAATTATTACAACGTTGGCGTAAATAGTTTGCTGCATTAGGCTGAAGATTGTATTCAAGAAATTTGGTCTCAAAAGCATATCCCATGTATGGTTTCGGATCTAAATAGCTTTCTATGTCTTCTGTTAAAATATCTACCCTTGCCGTTGGGTTCAGAATACGCCGACCTATCGATTCCACTAAGCCAATCAAATCATTGTACAATATTGTTGGGTCAACATCGTTACTTTCAAACAACTTGTTTACCACTTGAACTTCCTGTAAGATAGGTCTTATGTATAATAAGTACAAATGATTCTGTGGATCATTATACATGTTATATAGTATTTCTGCCGTATAGCAGTGTTCATCTCGCCTGGCAATTTCAAACAGGGTTTTTAATTCTATCCATTGATCAAGAATACGGCAGACCGCTGGTTCAATTGATATCCATCGGGTATTGCACATCTGTGGAATTGTCAATGGAACGGAGCCACCGTTGATCGTTTGAAACATGTTTTTGTAAAAGAGTCTTCGGTTTGATGAATGGCTAAACCAGTTATAGGTTTCTCTTATAAGAAATTCAACATTTCTTGGTAGGGTTTCTGCTGAAGCATGAGACATAGCCAACTGTAACGAATGACACACGCAGCGGACTAACACTAAATTGTCATTACCAGTTGCATTTTTCAACAATGCGTGCACTCCACTGTTAGTTCCTGTCATGACCGAAGCGTTATCCGTGCCGATACCGATCAATTTCTTTAAATTTATTTTTATTTCTGCCAACAATCCTTTAATGCCGTTCACTATGCTGACTGCAGTTCCGTCTTCAATCTCAACTAATCCCAAGAATGTGGAAATTATCTTTTTTAATGATCGGCTGAAATATCTTATCGAAACACCAAGCATTTTAAGTACCAATATATCTGTCGATTCATCGATTAAGAGACTGTACTCCTGATCTCCTAAATCTGTCACAATTTCTTGAATGAAGTGTGGTGCCAAAACATTTTTAATAATATTCGTGCATTTGGTTCGATGTAACTTGATGTCGCTGTATTTGCTGTCGACAAATCGGTATTTGCATAGTTCCGATAAATGATCTACAGCCATAATTGCACAGTGCTCGCAAACAAACAAAGCCAGCGAAGATTCTGCTTTCTGGGTATTCAGATCTTTTTTTACTTTAGGGAAGTTAATTTTTTTTTGACTCTTCATTGGCTCTATTGCTTTTCTGTGCTTTGCTGATGAAATATGTAGCCTCAAAACAGACAATTTTGCAATCATTTCGCATTTACAATACTTACAGTACGCTTTCGAAGTATCGTTTTCAACGGGCTGCAACCACTCTTTAAAGTCTGCCATTTTCTCCCAGTCTGCCCGGTAATGTTGACTATACTTAGGCACCATAATAAAAATATCAAATTATAAAAAAGGAACACGAAAACACGGATAAGACGAGACGACGATATGAGTGAGTCCACATCCACAACAATAAACAATGTTTTTGACAGAAAGCGACGTAGGCGCTGGGGAATGGATAATAGTAAGGGAATTCTATCCCATAGACATCACCCTCACAAAACTGACCACTCTCTAGAAAGAGACAAAGTGAATACGCGGCCAATACATGTGTATTTTCTGCAAGGCGCAGGTAAGGCGTAGAAAGAGACAATAACTGGCGGCACATTCGCTTTGTCTCTCTTGTACTTCGTCCATATTTACTTTATACCTGAATAAGGGCTCAGTCCATTCTCTATGTCTAAGGGGAATCCCGTAGCACAGAGAATATTATATTCGCTTCAAAAAAGGGTTGCCATGCTAGTGAATCACTAGTAG